CCTCCACACCAGGATGCTGGTGCTACCCATTCTGTCATGGAAGTTCACTCAGGGTGCCTTCTAGGTAACTTGAAGGGAGATCAGAAGAGCATCAAAGAATCACCTGGCGCCTCTCATGTATTTAATACAGATCCCTGGGCCCCACCCTCAGAGATTCTGCTTTAGCAAATTTGGTGTGTGGCCTGGAAATTGTATTTCTTACAGGTTCCTCCAGTAGTTTTGATGTTTGAGAATAAGCCCAATGCTGTAGACTCATCTAAGCAAAAGCCTAGGCAGTCTGGAGCCATAAAACTTTGGAGCACAAATGGATTCAGAATTTGGGCTGTCTCTGGGCCTATGAGAGTGCTAGAAGTATTTTGGAAGCATTGGATAGTTTAGCCCAGGGTCTCCAACCTCTGGGCCATGGACCGGTACCAGTCCGTGGCCTGTTAGGAACCGGGCTGCACAGCAGGGGGTGAGCAGCATCAGGTGAGTGAGCAAAGCTTCATCTGTATTTGTAGCCGCTCCCCAGCGCTAGCATCACTGCCTCAGCTCCACCTCAGATCATCAGGCAGTAGATTCTCATAGGAGCATCGGTCTCTGGTGCCAAAAAGGTTGGGGACCGCTGGTTTGACCCTTTCTCAATCAAGGAATATCTACAGAGCATGAGCTCTGAGCATGATAACACCTGGTTCTAGTGAGGAAAATAGGATTGGTTCCCATGGTGCCCAGAACATCTGTAAGACTAATGAAATGGAGAACTCTATCCCCTGGCCTCTTCCAGTACTCTAGGCATGTGGTAGGACATAAACCTTTGATCTGTAGTGCTGAGGGAACCTAAGAAACCTGATCCAGTTCCCCTTTAGAGCTACAGAAGTGTAGACCTGGAATGGCAAAAGAGATCTGCTCACAGGTAGCCTGTGGCTGACACAGGCCTGGAGTCTCTCAGTCCCAACTCTCAACCTCACTCCTGCTGATGTGAGTCATCTCTGGAAAAGCTCCCTGAAGTAGCCTCTGGGAACTGTCTGGAAAAAGGCACTGGAGAGCAAAGATGGCAACCTGAGGACACCTCTTTCCTCAACTCCCATTTGCCCATCTCTTCTGAACAAAATCGCTGGTCCCACTCAGTCGAGGCCTGGAAGCATGTCCGCACACCTGCCAGGATCTCCAAAGAGGACAGAAGCAAGATATTGTTTCCTTAAGGTAGGTGGGAGCCAGGAAAAATCGTGGGAGGCTCAGAACTTCAGAAGGAGTGGTGCGTGTGTTTACACTCTTCAGAGGGTCGATTGGATCCTCCTGGCTCAGGAGGAACTAAGGTTCTGACAGAACCTATCCTAGTTAGTGCAATACTGGCCCACAGGTGTAGTTTGTTGGCTCCCTACCAACCATGGGTTTGCTGCTACAGGAGGGTACATCCTACTTCTCAAGGGGTGCAGAGCCGCAGGTAGGCAACAGATCGTGCCTGAGGAAATTTGGCGACCAGGGGAGGAGGGCAAAACCACCTGTAACAGGTATAAGCTACCAAAAGTGAAGGGATTTCACGTTTGTATTCTTCGTGGCAGTGTTCCCTGCACCTGGCACAGGGCCCTGCAAATGTTTCTGAATGAATGCCATCTGGTCTGTGGCCTGTGAGCGTGGTAATAATTGCTTATTCTATGCCATGGAATTCTAGGGGGGTTTGTTAAGTAGCAGTAGCAAACTAATACCTTTAACAACGGGCCGCAGCTCTCCCCAATCCAGCTCGACAAAAACTACTCCACTGAGATCAGCCTTCCTTCCTTCAGCCTTCTTACTCTTCACCTCTGGCTGCTTTTAGTGAGCTCTCTAAAAGAAACAGCTGCTTGGCTCTTGTGCGGATACTGCATTTCAACACAGTGAGCCCAATATCAATCACTGAAAATGAGTATGGGAACCGAACATCTTAAAATTTGAAGGTAGGATATTAAAGTGGGAAAACTCTGGCAGGGAAGGCAGGAGATGCTAACTGCAGTGTTGTCTTGTGTCAGTGGCTCATTGTGACTCCATCCTCCTTTACTAATTTGAGGATAAATTGCAGTAAAATTCACTAAAGCACTTCCAAAATTCTCAGGTATCCCTTTTCCCCATGGCCAAAAGTAATGATAATAGTAGTTGTAGCCTTTATCATGATCCAAACACTGTACTAAATACTTTATGTGAATTACACGAGTTAATTCTAGAAACAACATTATGAGAAAGGTAGTTATCCTCATTTTTGGTTAGCACATTGAGGTTAAGAGGGGGAAAAAAAAGACCACGGGTAACTCTGCAAATTGCTTCCTCTGCCTCTTAATAGGATATGCTATCACGTCATCAGCACTAAGGGCTGAGAGGGTTAGTGAAGCGGTGATAACAAACATGTTTTTTGAAAGAATTTGATACATATTTTTTAAAAGCATGGGAAAAAGAAATCAGGACTCATTGGGGTTCTTTACATTTATAGTTAATGCTCTTTTATTAAATGGTAGTTTTATTTTGGATTACAGGATGTGGCATGTCATGTCCTTTTTAGATTCTCAGGCCTTTAAAGTTTGTAATCTGACCTTGTATGAATTATCGAGTTATTTTTTTGCCCTTTGTTTTCTCTATATCCCAAGTCCATACGTGGCCTTTGTGCCTCAGGAAAAGAAGGTCACAATGGAAACACAAAGAGAAACAAAACAATTAGAATATTTTTTAACTTTTAAAGTTCAAGGTTTTGGCATCAATACTGGTTTGGAAGAACATTTGCCTCTCTCCTTCCCACTAAGCGGGCAAAGGAGGAGTCTTCCTCTGGTCTGGAGAGAGGAACAGGAGGAAGAGTGATGGTCACGGTCAGGTGCTGGGGTGGGCCGTGAGGCTGGCTCCCCGACCCCAGGCCACACCCCAGGGAGGGAGGAAAATAGATGCCCAGACAGCAGAGGAGCTCTGGGTCTTGCTTTTCTAGAAGGGGCCCAAGATAGCGATGACCATCCAGAGACTCCACCCCAGCACAGAGCATGGCAGTGAACTCGGAGCCTGTCTGTGTATTGGGATATATTCCTCTTACTTTTGTTGCTTTCTTCCTTCTCTTAAAACTCTAGGTCCATCCAACAGTGGGTGTCTCCCAACTCATCAAGTCTACAGTCTCGTGGTTTGAGCTTGGAAGAGCCCCTCAGAGGCAGTGCTGGGTAGACAGGAAGGCCAAGCAGCCCCAGCCTCCTCCATCTCCCTTGGGACCTTTGCCTGGCTCTTCCACCCATGTGGAGACGCTTGCATAGGGTGCAACCCACACAACTCTCAGTTAATTGTGTTTTTGTTCAGTGTTGGTTTTCTAAAATTTGTTTTATGGTCACGAGCCAGGACATGAATGCCAACTAGCACACACATGAGCTCATACAAATATCCCATTGCCACAAAGCTAGCTGAGATGGCAGGGGAACAAGCCATGGACCACTGCCTAGGGCAACCCCTGTGTCACCTCCATAGAAAGGAGTCTTTAAAGCATTGAGTTTTTGTGCCGGGAATCATGAAATTTGTGTCAGTTGCCATTGTCCTTCATTTAAACAAATAGTTCCCTAAACTGTAGCTGGGTTTTGGTTAACTTGAATGCATCAGGGATTGCTCATATGATGGGGAAGAGAGAAGAAGATACGAGGAAGAGGAAGGGGGAGAGAGCTTTTATAATTTCTTAGTTTTTACAGAGGTACTTCATTTTACTTCAGCAGAGATGTGTGCCCTCAAGGCAGAAACTCAGATGACTCCCTAGTGATAGTGTAGAGTTCTGAGATAAGTGAAAACAGTCATACTCTTCCCAGGAGAAGAGGAAAGAGTATCACACCAGAGAAAAGTTCCTGAATTGGAATCTCCTTTGTAAATGAAGGAAATCCCTTCCTTGAAAAAATCATGTGGGCCTATTGTGTGGGTCACCTGAGGAGAGTCTGCTTTTGGTCTCAGGGGTTTGATATTTGGTGCAGGTGGCACCAGTGAAGCTTTAATGGCTGACCCTTCCAGGGTGTTTCTGACAACTGGTGGTAGGTTACGTTTCGTCACGTTCATTTCCCAGCTTCCTGGCAATCAAGACACCCTCAACTGGCCAGATGATACAGATCCCTCTGTAGGACAAAAGGAAGCATCAGAACCTCCTAGCACTGAACTCCAAGAGAAAGAAATTGGATACAAAGACCTTCTCACTGTGACACATCACCCAACCCATCTTGGAGGCAGCTCTATCAGGTTGGACTAGCTGAGCAGTGACAGTCTGAGAGTCCCTTCCAAAGCCACAAGCTCAACAGGAGGAGCCTTGGGGGCTGAGAAGGATAATTCTTTAGGTACGGTTCTCTCTTGCTAGCACCATGGTGGGCTCAACTTTCTCTCCTTCTCCTCCCTTCATTTTACAATCTCCCCCTGAGGGTCTGAAATTCTGACTGGAGCCATGTCCTTAGAAGTCTGTAGCCCCTGAGCTGGAGGGGAAGAAGGGTACAGATGCTAGGTTGGGGGACCTAACTAAGCCTCCTCAACCCATTGACCCTAAGGAGGGGGACTGGAACGCCTCATCCACAGACATGCTAAAAGCCACGCTAAAGCCAGGCTCCCCTGTGGGCAGAGAAATAGCTTGGTGCACACATGCCCTGTCTGCATGTCCAGTGCTGGCCCAGCCGTCCACGTAGGGTTCCTCAGGTGCCTCAGACACACAGGTCCAACACTTACCGCCTCCAGAGTTTCATCCAAGCCACTCTCATCTTCCTCCTCTTCTCTTACTACCCCACCTCAGCCAGTCACAAAGCCCTGCTGGCGCTGAGTGCACCAGGTTGCCCTTCTTAGAAGCAAGCAGGACACCTGCGGCAAGTAGCCCTACAGGGAGAGGGAGGAGCTATGCAGTTAAAAGGTATCATTGGAGCAGAGAATAAGACCTCTCCTTTGATCTCATCTGTTTGCTGTTACTTAGTATTTATCCCGAGTTCCATGATAATCAACCTCAAGCTTTGATCCTAATTAAACAAATTAAAAAAAAAATGTCTTCCCAGAAGAAGTGGCTGTTACTTTAGTTTGACTAAGTACTAGTCAACCAAGCTGAATGAGAGCCTTCAGGCCTTATGAAAAGACTATCACAGAGACATAAAGCACAGCATGGGGAATATAGTCAATAGCATTGTAGTAACTATGTATGGTGTCAGACGGGTACTAGATTTATCGGGGTGATCGCTCTATAAGTTATATGAATGTCTAATCACTATGTTGTACACCTGAAACTAATATAATATGTATGTAAATTATAATTAAAAAAATAAAAATTTTAAAAAACAGTGACACCATAATCCGAATTGGGTTCAAATTACACATATGTGCATAGGAAAAAAGACTGAGAAATCATACACAAAAAGGATAAGAGTAGTTGTCTCTGCATGGTATGATTATAAAAGATTTTTACTTTCTTTATAATCTCTTTATTTTCCATTTTTTCCATGTATTTTGCAATTTAAAAAAGTAAGTTGTTAAAGATCAATAAGTACCATTTGGAAATCTGTATTATATCAACATAGATCGATTACAAAGGTAAATAGCATCCCCCTCTTCTTTCCAAAGAAAGTGCAGCACTAATCATCTTTCCAAACAGATACCAGAAAAGAATTTTCCAAAGACTGCCAGGTGCCCCGTGCAGAGCCACGGGAGCCACACAATGGCAATTCCAGTGCTTTGGAAGGCTCATTCCCACCTGTGCTTCCACAGCCCAGTAAGGACAGAAAGGGCAGGTCAACCCTTGGTTTGAGAGAGCTTTCCAGCCCACCTTTAGCTCCTGCTCCATTATTTATGATAATTGGGGGGCAGGAGGAATGGGGAGCACCACCCAATTGCCAAAGGAAAGAAATAAGGAAATTGCCGGCAGTGTTGGGTCAGAATCTCCGAAATCAGGTCTCCAAACAGCTAATCCAAGAGCTTCCAGCAGGGGGCAGCAGGGCACTGTGAGTGGCTTGTTCCATCAATAGCCGTCTGCTGTCACAGATGAAATACACCTAACTTCCACATCAGGTGGAAGCCAAGAGTAAATCATCCTTTGCTGTCTGTGGCCAAGAATGACGCACCCTTACAGAGCTGCCCAATAGAAAATGAGACTTTGAACAAGTTAATAATTTATCTCCAGGAGATCCACAATTAAACAGAAGAAGCACCCAAAGTTTCTTCCAAAATCCTACTTTTCTCAATTTAGAAAACCTCAAAGCCACCATTTACCTACTTCATATATTTATTTACATTTATTTACTTTTTTATTCCAAAAAGGATTTAAGGCAGCTTTGCCAAGTCACAGGTCTTTGTTTCATTCTAATTACACAGGACAAAGAAAGCTCAGAACCTGTTCACATTTGCCCCAGGAAATAGGCCCAGTTTACTGACAGGCATATTTGTCTTAGTGTTTGCTAAAATGAAGTTCGGGGAATTTGGTCCCACGCTGAAAACAGATGAATTTGGAATAAAATCCCGATCGCCTTAAAGGGATGCCAATAGCAAACAATGATGGGTGAAAGAGATTTTACAAAAAAAAAGAACAGGTGGCAGGAAGCCGGCACTCTGGTTAAAAGATCTGAGTCTCAGTACCAGTTTTTATGAGTTATAGCCTCTGACACCTGGGCAAGCCACTTTCCCTCTCTAGCAGTTTCCTCTTCTATAAATAGGGGATAGGACAGACGACTTATGGGCTTCATTCCACCTCAGATATGGGAACCTAAGGGCACTTTGGGGCCCTAAGGAGAAAAAAAATAAAAAGCTGAAATGGGTTTTGCATTCTGGGCCTGGTTGGGACATAGGAGTTTGGCTGGGGAAGGCACTGGAAGGGAACTGTTCTTGATAATAATGTATAAAAAGTGATTTTGTGTGGAAACCACATCTTGACCCTTCTTCATCTGCACAATCTATTTCCAGCCTCAGCACCTAGGAAAAAGGGAAGGAGTCCAGAGTTGTGCCTTTCAGTTTCCAGCCCAAACTCTTTAAGTGATAGCTGAGAGGGTCTAAAGGCACCTTCTCATCCCTCCCTGGAGCCGCCCTAGCTGCCCCTGAGCAACCTGTGGAGCCTGTTTGAAGGGCCTGGTCTGGAACATTAGACTGGCTTGCTAGGCCCCCTGAGGAAGTATTTCAGTCCCCACTGGGGCACCGTTTAAGACCACTTCAGAAAGGAACACACATGTTATAGAGAGCATCAGGCAAAGATAAAATAATTTGGTTTTAACCTTTACTTTCAATCCCAAAAAACCTCTTTCCTTTTCATTACAAAAGTACTATAAACAAACATGGACGGGAGAGGAAAACTGACATTTGCGAACTCTGTACCTTCAACAGGAATCTCAGCAATCCCATCACCAACACTCATGCGCAAGGCATAGACATCAGGCGGACAATTATCAGGAATCAGAACTATACCATAAATGCAAGATCTTTTTACTTCGTATAAAATGATCGGCACGAAAAAGCCAGACCGTGCATTCATTTTACATACTCTGACACTCCCAAGAGCCTTCTCCTCTGGCCAGACTGGAGGCCCAGCCCTTCTGGAAGGGAGAGGCAGCCCGGCATCTCAGCAGTTCATTGACAGGACAAGCTGGATGTGGTGGGGAAGGCCGAGAATGCCAAGGTCCCCTGGCCTTTCCTAGGCTCGGAGGTCTGGCCACCTAGCCTGGCTCTGGCACAGCAGCCAGGTGGCATAGCTGGGTGCCTTCCTATGCAGGCGATGGGCTCCTCACCCAGGCTCACTGGAACGTCTCTGTGCTTGTCTATCTAGGGAGCCACGATGGAGCTGAGCAGCCATCCAAAGCATGTCAGTCTCTGACTTTACCATTCGTCCCCTCCGGTCCTCTGAGGAGAAGGTGCCATCAGTCCACTGAGCCATTGTAGGATTTGTTGAACTTGTTGAAAGTGAAATCTACAGTGTGTGTGGAGATGGGCTTTCTGTACAGAGGGTTTGAAGCCTATAAAACATGGAAGGCAGGAGGACATGTGTTAGTTTATTCATTCCAACACATACTCAGTGTTAGAGGCCCTTCCTTGTCAGTCACCTAGGAAGGCAGCAGGTGGAGCACACAGGTGCAGGTGACAGCCTTGTGCTCTGGAACTGGCTGCCTCTAACTCACCATGCCCTGGGAAAGTCTCTTCCCTTTCCTGAGTGTTCACTCTCCGTCTCTGAAATGAGGGCTGGGAGATGGTCTCGGGAGTTCCTTCCGACTTTAACTGGCTAGGAACTCTGGGGGCCCTTACCCTGTGTTCTTTAGAAGCATGCCGTTTGCTTGGGCAGACAACACTGACACATATGGATACTGTAATAGACTATAAGAACATATAGTCTATTTCTCTGGGGTCTGCTATCTCTCTACGACTGTCCAGACTCTTCCTTCTGAGGCTGTGCTAAGTGCCTCTGCCTCATGAGTCTCCTGCCCTGGGTCTGGTGAGGGGCTCTGTGCAGGGCCCTCTGTGCTCCTGGGCCATGCATGTCCCACCGTCCAGAACTGGGCACTAACCTCCTTTCAAGTTTTGTTTCTTTGTTTTGAATGCCAAAGATGTTAGTCGGCCTTTATCAGTTGCCTGAACTCAACCAGATCTCTAAACTTGACATTTTTTTCTACTTCCAACTTCCCACTGACTCACCATTTCATAGCGGGCCCTGGATCGCTCACTCTGGAACTTTGCAAACTCTCTCCGGTCGTGGATGGTGACCAGCAGCTTCCAGATGGCCAAGAGCGCGATCCCAATCAGGAGGATACTGCCTACCACGGCCAGGAGGATGGTCATGGCATTGGGGGCTGTTCCACACTCTGGAGGGGACCAGGAGGCACGGAGAGCAAGGCCATCATTAGTGTACCCCTCCCACCCCGGACCTCAAGTGTATGTGAAATGAAAGGTCTTCCTTCTCTTCTCTCTTAGATCCTCACTCTACTTCTGGGAGACAAGTGGGCAGGCAGGTTTCTTCAAATGTGTGTGAAGTGAAAGATTCAAAGAATGATGGTAACTAACCCAAGGCCACACACGAGTCTATGGCAAAGTCTAGATGAAAATCTTGGCGGCCCCCCACTTCTTCCCACACTCCGTTTGCATAGCTGCCTCTCCTTAGCTCGAAGTCCCAGTGCCGGATGCTGGACTGTGCCTCAGCTTCCATGTAAATGGTTTCCGGATCAGACTGGGCAGGCAGGAGGTTTCATGAAGCCGCTTCCACAAGGGCTGGGCTGGGGGCCAGCCAACATTTGTAAGCCCTTAGTGTGGAGCCCTTTGGAGCAAATGTGCTTATTTTCAAAGAACCGCAAAGACAGCATTTGGAAACAAAGCTTCATTCTTACAGGCATGCATCCTGGGCTGGCACCACACTTCCCCTGCCTCTGCCCAAGGAAGGCACGTTATGCGGTTTGGCCCAATTTGGAAAAACAGTTTGCAGTGCTATGAATTAAAGAGAGCATCTCTTTTTCTGCTTCCCCTGCTCCCCTCTAGAAAAGAATAAAAAGGGTCACGCTAGAACTTCTAATTACTACGAGGCAAAAGGCCATTGGTTCCTGGGCACAAAGCACAAGGCAGAATTATCTGTGTTTAGATTAAAGCTGAGCCTCCTCAGCGGCCCAGGGAGCCCAGCACAGCAGCCTGCAGGGGTGTTTAACCCAAAGCTCCATCGGCCCTTCTTGGACTCCACACTGGGAAGTACAGCGGCCTGGCCAGGGCTGTGTGTGTACCCAGATGCTCCCTAATGCAAGCACTGGCCTGCTCAGCCCTGATGGTCCAGACCTGCTCTGTGTGCTCCTTGCAGAGCCCAGTGGCTCCTAACAATTAGGCTTTAGCTCTGCAAGTTAAGTGTGTTCTGTGCTTCCTTTCCCCCTGTGCTCTCTCTCCTCCAAGATGAGACACCCCCCCCCAACTCCCCCCCAGGGCAGGGCCTTATCCTTTGCTAACACCCATGCCCCCCACAGCTATCTCCCAGCAATGGGCCCTTTCTTCTAAACCGTAGGAGTCAGGTTGGGGCAGCCTTAGAGTCTGATCTTCATCAGGAATTGAAACCATCTTTTCTCTGGAGTTTGGAAAGGGTGGTGAGGTGAGCACAGGGTGACGTGCCTAGAGCAGGAAATGGTGTCGGGAACCGAGCCCCCCGGGACAGCACATGAGCCGGCCCTCACCCACCTGGCTCTCTGAGGACCGTCAGGTTGGACTTCCCACTGGGCAGCTCTGCATAGGTGAACAGCATGACACAATCCTTGGCAGTTTTGTAGAAACAAAGCACTGCCTCCTGGTCATCTTTCACTGGAAGAAAACCAAGCAGAAATGTCCTGAGTTTGTCTCTGGGCAACCCGGAGCTGCTGACAAATGGGGCGAGGAGCCGAACACCTTACAGAAGAAAGGGGGTGAAGAGAGCCTTAAAGGGGGGCGGCTGGGCCTTTAAAAATGAGTTCAGGTATCTTATAACAAGAACACAGGCCCAGGTGCTGAGTGCAGTTTGCTTTGGGGACTTGAGTTCCCTTAAATGGAGGGATCCCTGTAGAAAATGAGAGAGGATCTTCAAACCTCTGAAGTGTTTGCTAGGGGCGATGTGAAATTAAAGAAGGCATTAATGCTTGGGGGTGGGATTGCTAAATGGAACTGGCCCTCGGAATTAAAGGGATAAAGAAAAGAAGGAGCCATCCTGATGTCCTTTGAGGCCTGAGTGAGAGTTAACACTTGAGTCCACTTGGTTGAGAGCTGGCTGCAGAGGCCAAGCATCAGGCAGCTCTTCCCTAGGATGTAAAAACAAAAAGACCCACAAGGTGATGAGGACATTTAGATGAGAGATTAGCAGCCATAGCGGTGCCTGCACCCCAAGATAAAGTGAAGCAGAGCCCCTCGCTCCTCTGTATTAGAAAGCCCCCTTCCTCAAGCTCCCTCAACTCCTCCCTGTCCCCCAGAGATTACCCTGATGCAAGGTCCAAGCATTATCTGCATTCCAAGGCTTCTTTGGGGAAGCGTTAGATTGGTTTCTAGGGGAAAAAGGAAGTAAGAAGAGTGTGAAGTAAGAGAGAGATGAGAGGCTAGGAAATGGCCAGTGGATCGTGAATGACAATTCAGGCTAATGTTATGCCTGGAAATGCTTTTCAGCTCTCAGTTTTGTAACCCTGTTGCACCAAAGAGTTTCAACCTGGAACCAGATAAATTTCTGTGGTTTTCAAACACGAATGTCTGGACTTTTTTCCTCAGTTCCCAATCTTAGGCCTAATCTGGGTGAGTGTGAGCGTGAGTGTGAGTGTGTGTGTATGAAAAAAAAAAATCCAGGGAGAAGGAAGGAAAGGGGTAAATGGTGAATTCAAACAGAAATCTTCTCTATGAAGCAACCGATTCATCTCTCAGAAACAGACGGAGGCAGCTACATGATTGGCTACAGTTGCTCTGAGTGAATCAGTTAGTGGGCGGCGGGAAGGCATTGTCTTGTTTTGTCTGACTGTGTGCTTTGGCCCCTGGTCCGCAAGCAGAACTTGCTGTTCAACCTTAAATAGCAAGAAGTAGGGCTAGAAAATGGGTGTGAGGGATGGAACTCAGTAAGCCTGTTTCTAGGTCTGGCACAATCCCTGGGGCACAGCTGGTGCTCAATACATGTGTTAGCGGCATATGTGACTCAACATACTCAGGAGCCATGATTTAGCCAGAGCAGTCAGTCAACATCAGAGAGGCAGGAGCAAGGAAGTCTATAAAGAAGGCAAGTCAGGGCCATGACGGACAGGCAGCTGGGCTAGGAGTCTGCAGCGGCTGAGGTCAAGGTAGAGGGCAAAGTTGCCAGCAAGGAAGTCTCAGGTGCAGAATCCCTTTCAAGATACATAGTCTTCCCCCTGCCCCATCCCCACACTACCACGTAATCATTTTATAGTGTATCATTCAGTAGTTTTAGTATATTCACAATGTATAACCATTCCCACTATCCAATCCCAGAACATTTCTATCACTCCAAAAAGAAACCCATACATAGTAGCAGCCAGTCGCAATTCCCTTTGTTCCCCAGCCCCTGGCAACCACTAACTTACTATCTCTGTACTTGTCTATTTTGGACATTTCCTATAAATGGAATCATATAACATATGTCCTTTTCTGCCTGGCTTCTTTCGCTGAGGATAATATTTTCAAAGTTCATCCATGTTATACATGTATAAATACTTCAATCCTTTTTATGACTGAATAATATTCCACTGTATGGTTATACCATATTTTTTTCATTCATCAATTCATGTACATTTGGGTTATTTCCTTTTAGGCTATTATGATTATTGCTGCTATGAACACTCACGTGCACATTTTTGTGTTAACCTATGTTTTCAGTTCTCTTATGTAGACACCAGGAAGTAGAATTGCAGAATTGTATGGTGACTCTATGTGTAATTTGGGGAGAAATGCCAAACTGTTTTCCACAGTGGCTGTACCATTTTACACTCCAAACAGCAGTGTATGAGGATTCCAGCACAGGGCCACTTTGACTTGATGCAAATAGAGTGTTCCAGAATAGTTCCAAACCCAGTTACGCGCTTATAGGGCTAAGATATGTGATTTGCATCTCTTACCCTTAGAAACTCCTCAGCCTGGACAGCAGTAGCTGTACTGGAAAGATATGGATGCAGCTCAGAGATGGCGAAAAGCAAACATCTTTGTGCCTCTGTCTGAGCCTCCCCGTGGGCTTCAGAAATGGACTTGTAGCCATTTGCCCAGAAATAAAAGCAGAGGGATTGAGAGATGATGTCAAACTGGAGTGTTTAGAGTAAGAAGAGCCACTGGGTGAGATCTGCAGAAACCAACTGGTGACCTGCTGCCGGAAGAAGAGCCTGGCACTGAATCTCAAGTTCAGTCCGGACTGAATGAGAACTCTGCCCCCTCTGATGGCTGTAGCGTCGTGAGAGCTGGGCTGGGCTGAGGCCAAATAGCGCAGAGGCTGGCTAGTTGTTCACCAGACATGGATCCCCTGCTTCCTGGGCACACAGCTTGACTATGTTTCCCAGCCAGCCTTGTAATTAAATGCAGCCAGATGACCGAGTCCTGGCCAATGTAATGTGAATGGAAGTTATATGTACCACTTCCAGGCCTGGCTCATATAAACCTCCCACGGGACCCTTCACTCTGCCTTTCCCTATTTGCTGACTAAATGGAGAGGATTCTGGGGACGTTGGAGAGGGAGGAACCTTGACATAGAGGGTGCTTGAATGCCTGAGTGACCACATGGAAAGCTTTGCCAACCGGGAGCATCTTCACTGGACTTTCAGTGAGTGATGAACTGATTTACATTTGTTAAGTCATTGATATTTGGCATTTGTTTGCGATAGCAGCTAACATTACTTATTCTAATATACTCAGTTCTCAGAGGGCCTGGGAGAAGACTGGGTTCCCGTGATGGGACAGAAACTAGCAGAAGACTGGGTTCCAGCGATAGGACAGAAACTTATGAACAAGGTCTTATACCCTGTTGAGTCTGGAACCTATGCCCTAGCACAGGTTCCCCAAGTCCTCTTGGGAAGCCAGCAGTTGTGCCAAGGACATTGAGACTATGCTTCCTAATTCAAGGCTAAACCTACCTTTCTCCCGGCCAAGATCATCCCATGGGGGATAAAGGTCTCTAAGTGTCCACTAAGATCGAAAAGGGGACAGCTGCCCAGGGCTGCTCCGGCACACTCACCGATGCTGTCCGCCCACGTGATCACCTCATCTTTGCACAGGTTTTGGCAGGTCTGGTTGTCAGCTGGGCTTCCTGAGTGAAGCAGCAAGCACTCAACACAATCTCTTTAAAAAAGAGGCAATAAATGTTGATGTTAGATGCTGTGTCGTAGCTCCACACACATAATGAGTGGGCCCCCAACAAGGCAGACCCCAGCCTTCCTGCAGGCTCTGAAGGCTAACTTCTGCCTGTCTTCAGGTGTCTGGCTTCAGGGAATGTTTCCGCCCCGCCCTTCTTGTGGCTGTGATGTGGGGAAGCCCGAGGGTTCTTGGAGGGACATATGTGAGTTTAGAGGCATGTCTGCTCTACACGTCAAGTTGCAGGTTGGAGGCCTTTCAAATTCTGATACCAGGAGCCAAATCCATCTTCACTCTGGTATATCAAAGGCCTGACTGAACGAAGGGTCTGGCCAAGCAAGAAGTTTCTGAGTGATAAGAAACTGTGATCCCAGCCTCACAGAGGGGTCCTCATTCCCCATGGCCGGTGCTTGATGTCCTCGTGTTGCCCCAATTCCCAGGATCCCCTCCAGCCATCACCAGGGCAGGGCTCTCAACCTGCCTGCACATTAGATTCTGGAGTCACATTTCTTGGGTGGAGCTGGGCCCTGGGATTCTGATTAACAGTGAGAGCTGAAAACTGCTGTCCCGGAGGCTCTGAGGCCCTGCCCCTTCTCCTTCCCTGAGGGCGCTCACCTGGCAGGCTCCCCAAGGACCCTGCTGTCCACTCACCCGTTGGCCAGCCTGCACTAGATTCTGGTAGAGGCCACAGGGTTGCAGCCCCTCCCAGGGAACTCGCATTTCAACAGGGATCTTCTGGAGAAAATGGCTGACAGCCACAAAGAGACACTATGAGTCCCTCTCCTCCCACCTCAGGCCTACAGTTTAAATCAGATATGTAAAATGCTTAATTAAAGTGCTCTATTAATGATTATTATTTATACTTTTCAGAGTCAAAATCCAATCCCAGGAATTCTCCACCCACCTTCAGCTACATCAGGGAGAATAAACAAGACTCCTGGGACATGGGGCCAGAGAAGCTGAGCTCTAAGGGTCTGTGAAGCTTGCTGTGGAGGGGAACAGAGCCCTGACCCCTCTGGGGGCTGTGGGATAGGGCAGCATAAATGGGATGGCAGCAACTCAGCCCCAGGGACGAGTGGGGTGGGGCAAAAGAGCTAGCTGATGGGGAACCTCCAGGAACTTTGTGAGGCAAGGAGGGTGAAACCCCCCAAACAGAGGCTTCCTCAGGGGCTTCCTCAAGCGCCAAGTGTACTGAGAGGGCCACCGCCTCCCTGCAGCAACACAGTGGCACCAGAGCGCACAGGACGACCTTGCAGAGCCTCGGCCAGATGGGGGACAGCTGTCCTGATTTCCTACAGGCCTGTGGGGACGCAAGGGGCTGAGTATCTGGAAGGCACTCCAGCAAAACAGGGAGGGATGTGCAACCACAATGCATCACCTTTATTATCATCATCCTTTAATTCGTTGAGATTAAGAGGCCAGTTACTACGTTTCCGGTGCAGAAACTGTGGACTGGAATGTCAGAACTGGGAGGGAGCTCAGAGAGCATTTCATCAAGTCCTCTTATTTTACAGGTGAGGGAAATGAGGACAAAAAAGAAGTCAAGGGCAGCTGGATCCAGCATCCAGATGCCCCGTCTCTCAGACAACCCCCTCCGCAGATCCTTACTTCACTTTCTGAACATAGAGGAGGAATGGGCAAGCGAGTAGATCATAAAGAGAAAATGAATAAGGTTTTCTTATGAGGGTTCTAATACGCTCATGAGTTCGACTATCTGAGATGTGGCCACAACAATCCCACTCTCTTGGGAATGACTTTATGGAAACATTCTGGAGTTACAAACAAGTGGGTGATGTATGCATTGCTCCATAAGCCAGAGCTCCAAAGGGCGGGCAAGTGAGACTTGGCTGCGGTCAAGGAAGGGGTGGCTGCAGCTCTGGTCATTCACGTTAACCCAGCACCCGCCTTTCCAGCCTCCTGGATTAACGGGCTGCAAAGAAGGGCAGCTGCTTCCGGTCTCAGCCAGGATCCACTGTGCCCTCCATCTGCATTCCCTGTTGTCATTAAAACCACATTAAACCACAGAGCCACTTTCAGGAAACATTCCCTAATTATCCACGTAGACATATCAGTGTGATTCATGTACTGTGTTGAAACGCGTGATATATTGTAGTCATGTCTTAAAGTAAGTCTGGTCTTTTAAACAAACAAGTTGCTGAGAGAGACTTTGCACAGAGCCTGTTAATTGAAATCAGCTGAGGCTGAGTGTGAACTCACCCAAGGTGAAGGGTGTGTGTGGTTAATTCTAGAAAGTAGAGATTGGCTGCTCTGAAACGCCAGGGGGAAAAAAAAGGACATAAGGTATTCGAAACCTGGTGTCTCTCAGCAAAGCAGCAAGCAGAAAAACAGCCTGACATAAGTCACTATCAAAGAGACATTGTTTTTTTTAAAAAAAGTTGCAACTAGGCTGTGAAAGAGACAGAGTGAGCATGGCCCAGAGGAGGGCCCAAGAAGGGATAGTGAGGTTCCCTTACTTTGCTCATTGGGTATTGCTTAATGGATAATAAATTATCAAGTCTATGTCTTCTAGGAAATGAATGCTTTAAACATTTAAAGCTGGGGTTGTTTTCCCATGGGACCTTTTAACCTACCTAAGCCAACCATACATTGCCTTGCTGCTCCAGAGGAAGAAGAGAAACAGACTTTATCTACTTTTATTGGTTGCACGTGTGTTGTTCTAGCTTGGCTCCCACCCCTATCAACTTCGCGTGTCTCAGGGACTAGGAACGTATACTCAGAAGGGTTCTGCTGGTAGGAGTTGTGGGAGGGCACCTCGCTCCAGCATGAAATGTGGACGATGGCTGCGATCCCGTGCTCAGATGGCCACAGCTACTTGGGCTCCAGATCCAGGATCCTAACCTCCTCCCTGGGATGTTTCTTTGAATTTCTGCTGTATCTCCATTCTTAGCGGGTCTAAAGTGAATCTGTTTTTTTTCTCCCTTCTCCCTGGCTCCCTTCCAATTACACAAAATAAAACCTGGCCCTGTCGATCTTGTCTCTTGGTCTGCAGCCAACTTTCAATTACCCACGCCTGGATTATTTGTGGCAAATGTCCAGCCAGGGGCCCTGCCACCCAGAACGTTTCTGAGCACGGACTGACCAGCAGCCACGGCAGGCTCAGGGAGCACGAACTCATTTCATTATCAGCCTGAGCCAGAAGTTTGGAGGGGAAATCTGCCAAAAGAAAATTGCACTGTTGCGCTCCCTAACCAAAGAGAAATGCCGTCTGCATTTCTATTTGTTTCTGCTTATCCTTGCTCCTGTTCCCACCCTGCTGGCGCTTTAGCACGATGATGATGACACAGCGGCTTCTCTAGCAAAAGTCAAGAGAAACTGTCACTCTGGCTTTTCTGACGGCATGACTCCTTGACTTCTTTAATTCCCTCTCACTGGCGCTCTGGCAGAGTGTGAAGGGCAGAGCCGTGGGGAGGTCATCCCGGGGAATGTGACCCTGTGGCTGAGTCATCGAAGGCCCGGGTGCCCGGGTCTAGACAATCTGTGCATTCATTGGCAGCGTAGAGCCAGCGTTCCATTATCTGTATAAATGGAGCAGAAAATTCAACAGCCACGGCAGTTTGTTTCTGGCATGCCTTATCTAGGTCAGGTGCCCTCCTATCCAATTTCCCTTCTGATTATGTTTTCTTTAAAGCAGCATTTCCCACATGGGTGTCCTGTGAAACACTGCTTGGGAGATGTTAATGTGTGTGTGTGGATGGGTGGGGGGTGATCAAATACATTTGAAAAAAAGATGCACACTGAATCCCCTTTTCAAATACTCAATGGCACACTAAAGGCTCTGAGAAAATGCTATTTTGTTACCAAAACCAGTTTAATTTCATTGAACTCAGTAATCTGGTAATTTCTAAACTTGTTTAGCAATAGAATAGCAGTCTTGGTTTTTTCCTGTTTTGTTTTTATTTTCTAACAAAATCCCCATGGAATCAGAGTCTCGAAGATGCTATTTTAGTTAATGTTAGTGAGAGTCTCACTCCCCAGCAAGGCCGGGAGGGCAGAGATGGGGAGAGGCTGACCGGCCCTGAGAGCTGACTGGCTGGAAGACAGGCCTGTGCTGAGGTGAGGAGCTGGCGTGAGGGGGCTGTGGGTGGGCGCCGTTACCTCTTGGTGCTGCAAGCATCTGGGCAGGTTGGGCACTTCTCGCATGTCTCCCCAAAGGCTCCTGGCTCTGTGCATTGGCACTGCCCACACACACAGTGCCCCCGGCTGCTGCAGATCTGGCCGTCCTTGCCCTGGCAAGTACTGATGTCTGTTGAGCAGTTACAGTTGTCCCCAATGTAACCTGCATGGCACTTGCATTCTCCACAATGACACTCGCCGTGGCCTATAAAGACACACATAGCACATCAGTGCCTGCCTGCACGAGCACATAGCCACCACCCAGCACCCGCCATGTGCCAGGCACTGGGGAGCTAACAGAATGAGACACTGTGTCTTCAGAGTTCATTAGAGCAGACAGAGAGGGCCTACTGCTGACAGGGAGTGACAGCATGGGGCTTGGGCAGCTTGTGTGGCCTGGCTGGGGGTCGGAGGCAGTGCTCCAAGTTGGTCCAGAACTTGGCCAACTCACGCCACAGACACAGGACCCCAGAGAGCTTCTTCCTGCCTCAGTCGTGGTGTGACTAATGGCCCCAAATACACCCAGGCCTTAATCCCCAGAACGAGGAACGTTACTTCAAATGGCAAAGGAGACTTTGCAGGAATGATTAAGGGAAGGATTTGGAGACAGGGAGTGTCTCCTGGATTATTCGGTGGGTCCAGAATGCCATCCCAAGGGCCCGTATATGGGGAGGGCAAAGGGAGATGAGACAACAGAAGCAAGATGCTAAGCTGCTGCCCTTGGAGACGGAGGAGGCCGCCAGGCCAAGGAGTGCGAGGAGTGCAGCCCTAGGAGACAGAAAGGGCAAGGGCACAGACCCTCCCCTAGCTCCTCCGGAGGGGGTGCCGACACCTTGACAATGACAATGATTCCAGACTCTGGGCTCCAGAACTGTAAGAACCAAGTTGTGTTGTTTTTAAGTCACTGAATTTGTGCGCATTTGTTACAGTCACGCTAGGAAACTAACGCAGTTGTCTTTGCTTGATCTTAGTGAGATTCTTGCTCTGGCCTTGGAGCCCCAGCCCAGAGTAAGGTGACTGGGGAGCGGACGCCGAGAGCAGCAGCGGCAGCTAATAATGTGAGCACTATATGAGTGGCAGGCTTCACAGTACCAACTTGATTAATTCCTACAGCCATCCATGTGGTAGGGATTATCATCATCTTCATTTCACAAGTGATGAAACTGAGACATAGCAAGACAGAGCGGCTTGTTGAAAGTCATCCAGCCAGTGGCCGTAGAGCCAGAATGCAAACCAGAGAGGCTGGCTCCAGAGTCTGTGGTCTGAACTCCAGGATCCACTGTCTCTCAGGAGAAGAGAGGACAAAGTGGCCCAAACCAAGATGAAGACCAGCTAAGGGTTGCCCTGCACCCCCTTGCGGAGGGACCCCTTCCACTGGCTGATGGGGAGGAGCTGGGTACCCCTCGAGGTTCCTCAGGTGTCAAAAGCAGGGAAGTGCTCAGCTCAGAGCACAGAGTTTGTGTGTGTGAAAGTGAGCATGTGCACCAGGCACGTGTATGAGTGTGTGCACCAGGCACATGTGTGTGCAAGTAGGTGGATGTGTGCGCACGTGACGAACAGTCAAAAGCATGGAGAGTGCCATCTTCCAATGTGGTCAAGAGCCTGACAGTGAATTCTAGATTCTCTCCACTGACAGAGGCAGAAAGCAGTGCTATAAATAGCACTCAATTTTTAAGGAATCTTCCTGACACTATTATTGTAGCATATTTTCTTCCTGATGCCATTTTGCTAAGGCTGATATTAATAGGACCAAGAATCTGTATTCACTGAGCGCCCACGTACACACTAGTAGGAGAAGGGGGAGGCAGGAATAAGCATCAGACAGGTGGGGGCCTTGCATTTTACTCCTGCACCTGAGTCAGTTATCCTGGTAGTTGGATCCCAGCACCGTCTGTGAGACCACCAATGTGTGTGACTCACAATTCGGGTCAGGTCCTAACTCCAGAGAGCCTCTTTGTCTGCCACTCACTTCCTGTCCCCTCCCTGCTCTGTCAGCTCTGTAGCTCTGTAGTGACTAGAATTTTCAGGCAACAGTGGGGCCATCTGGAACAGCCAAGCCCGCCACCTCTCCCGTGCCCGACAGCCTCTCTGCTCACAGCGGATACTGCGCTGGGTGAGAGTGCCCTCCCATCTCACAGGCAGTGCCAAGGCATATGGCAGTCCTCTGGGAGAGGTGAGAAAAGCCAAGTAGGGCCAGGAGGAAGCTGTGGAGCGCAAGTGAACGGCCTAGAAGCTGGCGTAAGATGTGAGAGCCACGGGAGAGAGCAGCACCCCTGCTCAAGGGGCGTGTCGGAGGGGAACGGCAGCAGAGTGCACAGCTCAGCCCGGGAAGAGAGGACCGCACACCCCTCCTCTCCACCGGTCTATGAACAGCACAGATTTCAAGCCACAGCAGGCAGGAAACCACTCCCCCGCACAGCTCAGCCCGGGAAGAGAGGACCGCACACCCCTCCTCTCCACCGGACTACGAACAGCACAGATTTCAAGCCACAGCAGGCAGGAAACCACTCCCCACAGGAAGTCTTCCCAAATGAAATGGCTCCAATCACACTATTCCGTCACTCTCTGGCCTCAGAGACCACATTGGTCAAGAGCCTGTTTTAAATTAACATGGTTCACTGTCAGGGATAATTCCACCACCACCCCTCCACCGCCAACATTTTACTATGAACATTTCCAAACTAGCGGCCAAGATGGAAGAATTGTACAGTGAACATCCATATACTCATCACCCACATTCCACCATCAGTATGTTACCTATTGCTTTATTACATATCTATCCATCAATCTATATTTTTTAATATGTATTTCAAAGTGAGTTGCAGATATCAGTGCACTTCAGAGTAGGTTTTTAATATAGCTCTGGCCCTCACCAATGGCTTGTACATCACAATGTCCCATAGAGTGAAAATGCAAAAGTAAAAGGCATGCTCAGTGCTGTACTTATAAACAGCACAGACAGTACTCAGGCCAGAGAAACTGCTTTGCTTGAGATGGCGTTGTTTTTCTTCATACTCTCATTGTTTTTGGCAGTGAGGTAAAATTATCCAAATAATTCTTGGTGCCATTTGGCATCAAGAGGTGCCAAAAATAACCTGACACAATATTCCAAAGTGTCAAAGGTTTGGAGAGGAGGTGGTGGTATATTATTTTGTTGAAGAGTTGAGTTTCGAGTGAAGTATATGTGTGATAAAGGGAGAGGCTGCTCCCTATAGTGACTGAGCATCTAAGTGAAAATGATGGCAAGTCAGGCAGAGGTGCCTGCTGCTCTATACTTTCCACCAGGATCAGCAAGTAAACCTAGCTGTTTCGGGTACATCTGACACCATACAAGCCTGAGGGCTCCAAAACCCTGCCCAAGGCCTGCAGGTAAGAGTGCCCAGATCTAGGGTTCAAGTAGACAGTTAGGAGTAATGGGTGGGACAGAGCGGGAGCTGATGATTCACAAAAGTTCACCACGGTTTCTGGAAGAGAGACAGAGCTCACGGCTGGAGACAAGCCATTCCTGAAGGTCTCCCACAACTTTGCTGAGCACAGCAAAGACATGACATAAAAGACCAATGCAAGAGAACATGGAAAGTGAACAGAGCACGTGAGCCTACTTCGGTGGGGTGGGCAAGCAAGTGGGAGCTGCTGAGGGGCTGTGGAGCATTAGAAAATTCTTACCCATGTGGCTTTTGACTTCAAATATTTGGTAACTCCAAAGCAAAGTCCCAGTAAGCCAAACTAGGAAGGAGACCCTGGGTTCCATGCTTGGAGAAATGGCTGAAGCCACCTGCAGGCTTGCCCTCAGTGATTCCCTCGGTAGCCATAGTTTAGTTTGTCAGGTAGTTTATCACCTTTCAAAGGCAGCCTAAGACAGCTACAGTAAAGATGTGGCACATGCCACCACATCCTTATTCACAGCAGTGGCAGACAGTACTGTCTAATCACAGAATTCTTTTCCAGAGAGCCTGGGCTGGGCCTCAGAATCCTTCTCAACACTGTTCTCCAAGCAGATTCTACCGACTAGTGGGAGTGGCACACAAGATGCAACTACTTGCCATCTTGGTTTAAAGCCTCCAAGCCTCCTTCAGAAAGCATAACCTATATAGAGTGTCAAAAACTAGGTAGGCTGGGCCATATTTTGGCCTAATCCAAATGTCTCAGATCCTGCACTTAGGCCTCAACCTGCCTTTCCCCGAGCCTACATGTGCAAAGATTCCCCACATCTTCTGGTCAGCCCGTGGCCTCTCCTAATACACTACCAGAAATACGTGTTATTAAAATGACAAGGGTTATTGAGCCCTGTCCCAAGGATCAATAACCTGTCAGTCACTAGCAGAACTGAACAGGGGACTGGGAACACGATCCTGGCTAACGACTCTGAGGGCCTACGCAAGACCTCTTCATCAAATCAAAGCTCATTAAGAATGCTACCCTCCAACACCTTGGCAAAGCGAGCTGAGTTTAATGATGGCTGTCTGATTGTACAGACGTGAAAATATTTTCATTACACATAGATAGGGATATTGAAGGGTGTGTGAAAGCACTTTGTAAGCTGTGGATGGCTACATGTGCAAGTTATTATTAGTGCTGCCTTTGTTAGAATGATTGATAGCTAAATGGACAGGAAGTTGTAAATGTGTCTAACTTATAAAGAATTTTGGCTCTACAGAATTCAACAGCTTTCCTTCAACACAACACTGCTTGTGTGGGCTGGGGGCCAAGACACGGCCCCTTGCCTCCTTTTATAAAATAGAATGCTGGCTATTTAGAGGAGGGTACCCTTGAAGCAGGCTGGGAAGGAGCTGCCAGAGTGAAGGAAGAGAAACCAGTGGCCTGGAAGCCAAAAGGGATGTGAAGGGAAGACCCAGCACCAGCGCTCTATAGAGGTCGAGACGGGCGATTCCTACAGTGGCTACTGGGTTTTGCCACAGTCGGGATAGATGGGAGGGCAGAATCCAGCTGGTAGAGAGGTGAGGAAGGTAACAGCCAGCACAGGCAGCAGGTCGTACAGGGAAAGGAAGCGATGAGGAGGAAGGAGGATAGGGGATTTCGAAGGTGGGGTATATTTGAACATTCTTCTGACTAAACAGAAAGATTCAAAAGAGAGAACGTTTAGGGGGAAATGGAGGGACTGAGGTAAACTCTAAAGAGATCACAGCAGAAAGAGATGTGGTAAGAGACAGGGAGGACGGGCTGAGGGCCAGAGCGGGGCGCTAC